ATAAGATTTCATGTTTATTTTACATCCATTTCATATGTTGCTTCAATTTACGCTGATATGTATGTTTAAAGACACACAAAAAAGTAAGTAAATACTTCTTCCGTGTATAAATCTTTCATTCACTCCAATTACACACATACAAACCTGAATCTCAAAACCTGCATTTTTCATATATTACACATACACAATATATCCATTTTGATGGTTGGTTAGCTTAATTAGATTCCATGACCCAAAGGATCGAGCCTGTTAGTTTTATAATTGAGTTTGGTTATGTTATTTAATTATTAAGTATATATATCTTATATACTTAAGATGTAAGAGTCGTGACTTTAAGTAAGAGTAGTTATTTCATTGAGAGTTATAAGACACAACTCTTCATTGTTGCAAGGGAACTCAGACTTTAAAGAGTATATTCTGGTGCGAACTGATCTGGATACTATGGTATGATTCATAAACTAGCACTCAATAAGTTCCATGTGTTTGTTTCATTTCTTTTGTTCCATTATCCTCAAAAGTAGAAATCCTTTCCTCAGTTTTATTCACCTTGGATTTAACTTATTTCTTTGTGTGTCACATAGCAAAAGCTATGAGCTTTTTATATAGACTCATGAATATAATTAGGTTCTTGAGCTCGAAGAAGTTGTCTCACAAATCATTCATGTGGCTGGAACTAAAGGAAAGGTATGTTTATAGTTTCCTTGAGATTATTACAATGAAGATTTTTGAAATGTTGTGTATCTTTTTTAAGGGATCAACATGCACATTTGCTGAATGTATTCTTTGTAACTACGGTCTTCGAATGGGTATTTTTACATCTCCTCACTTAATCGATGTTCGAGAGAGATTTCGTCTGAACGGGTTAGCTTCTGAAAACATTCACATCACAACGATTTTATCTAAAAAATTGTGAAAAAACAAACACTTGCTTGCTTCAGCATTGAGATAAGCCAGGAGAAATTTGTGGAATATTTCTGGTTTTACTTCCATAAGCTAAAGGTTGGGAGTTCAAAACAGAACATTCAATAGAGACTTTTTTTCGGGTATTGTGTTTCTCTCATTTTGTTATACCATTTCAAATTTAAAGTGCAGGAGAAAACCAGCAATGAGATTCCAATGCCTACTTACTTCTGCTTTCTTGCATTGTTAGCTTTCAAGATTTTCGCAACCGAACAGGTTTTGAAATTTGTTCTTCTGAGTAAACGAAACTCATGTAATTAAGCCATGTAATGTTATTGATGTTTTGTGCAGGTATGTGGCTGGAACTAAAGGAAAGGTATGTCTATAGTGTCCTTGAGATTATTACAATGAAGATTTTTGAAAGGTTGTGTATCTTTTTTAAGGGATCAACATGCACATTTGCTGAATGTATTCTTCGTAACTACGGTCTTCGAACGGGTCTTTTTACATCTCCTCACTTAATCGATGTTCGAGAGAGATTTCGTCTGAACGGGTTAGCTTCTGAAAACATTCACATCACAACGATTTTATCGAAAAAAGTGTGAAAAAACAAACACTTGCTTGCTTCAGCATTGGGATAAGCCAGGAGAAATTTGTGGAATATTTCTGGTTTTGCTTCCATAAGCTAAAGGTTGGGAGTTCAAAACAGAACATTCATATAGAGACTTTTTTCGGGTATTGTGTTTCTCTCATTTTGCTATACCATTTCAAATTGAAAGTGCAGGAGAAAACCAGCAATGAGATTCCAATGCCTACTTACTTATGCTTTCTTGCATTGTTAGCTTTCAAGATTTTCGCAACCGAACAGGTTCTGAAATTTGTTCTTCTACTCGGTAAACTAAACTCATATAATTAAGCCGTGTAATGTTATTGATGTTTTGTGCAGGTAGATGTTGTTATACTAGAGGTTGGATTAGGTGGTAGATTCGATGCGACTAATGTGGTACGAAAAATCTACTGTTTTCTATGTGAGATCAGGTTTTGTCTCTAACAAAGCATATGTTAATATAGATTAAGAAGCCTGTTGTATGTGGTATTACTTCTCTTGGTTATGATCATATAGAGATTCTTGGTTAGTCTCTTTCACGCCACTTTTCGAAGTAATTGGATCCAACAAGTTTTTAGTCATTCAGTTTTTTAATCCATGACACACTCTTGCTGAAATCTCTGCAGAGAAAGCCGGTATCTTCAAGGTGAAAACAAAAAAAACTTTGTTTTATTCGAGTTTTAGTTTCCTTCTTAATCTTTGTTTTTTGTTGCAGACTGGAGTTCCTGCTTTTACAGTGCCTCAACCTAATGAAGCGATGCGTGTACTTAACGAGAAAGCTACAGAATTGAAGGTAAAGGCTACACAAAACAACCAAATCATTAGATAGATGTTCAAGATGAAAGAAAGGTTAAAAATTAGTACTTGTTTGCAGGTGAAAGTTCAGGTGGTGGAACCATTAGACACGAGTCATAGACTCGGGCTACAAGGCGAACATCAATATCTAAGCGCCGGTCTTGCTGTTGCGTTGTGTTCTACATTTCTTCAAGAGATTGGTATTGAGGACAAGAATGGTCTGAATAAGACAGTAAGTTGAAACAATGAAAAAATATTCTTGATTTGTGTGAGATTCTGTTAATTCTACGGCTTTTTTCTTCGTGAAAACAGAACGGTTTACTCGAAAAATTCATCTTTGGATTGTCGAATGCTTATTTGATGGGACGGGCAATGATCGTGCCTGATACAGAACTCCCTGAGGAGATTGTGTTTTATCTTGATGGAGCTCATAGTCCAGAAAGCATGGAAACTTGCGCTAATTGGTTTTCACAACAGATTAAACAAAACCAAGCAAGAAACCAAGAAAGATCAGAGCAGGTGAAATTGTGTCTTTAAATCTTAAAAACTTGTGAATGTTTTTAAGCTAATGTGTATGTATATATGTTATGCAAAACAAAATTAGGATTTTATGTTTTAAAATTTTTAGTAACATGTAACATGTTTTGAAGTGAGACAAAACCGAAGGCGTTCATGATGAAATCGAGWCACTATTTTTTCGAATATCATTGGAGAAGGTGTTTGGAAAACGTTTAATTGTTCTGAAGTGATAGTTGATCAATGTCCGGTGAAGAACATATGCAATTCGTTTATGATCAACATACCATTTCAAACGAGTATCACCAATTGTCTTCCAATGACCTTTCATTATATGATGAATTTTGTCTCTTTCAAAAGATTTATTGAAGGAAATGTCAATGAAAACTCTATTGGTAAGTTTAACTTTATCCTTTTTAAATCGGTAGTAATAAGTCTTTGATAATATGAATATTTTGCCATTGTTAAGCATATATTATCGATTTATATGCCTATTTTTTAGCGGGATTATATAAATTGTATTTTTGCATGTATTTGATTATTAAATAATATCAAGTATTAGTCTTTTTCGGAACTAAATGATTTTCTAAGATTTTGAGGATCAAATAGGTTTAGGATCCAGAATTTTTAACATATATTTTACAGGAATATGAAGTATTAGACGTATTCTAAAACCTAAAACCGAATTGTTTGTACAACTTCACATTCGTTTGAGTGGAAAAGCATGACATAGATTTCTATGCTTATTTTAATAACCATTGCATTTTATATTTTAGGATTTCTACGTGTAGATATTTAGAAAACATAAGATTTTGAAAGTGGAATTGAATGTTTGATAAAAAAAGTTGAAGGTATTTAAATATCTATTATGGATCTCAACATGAATTGATTTTTAAATTGTGAAGTTATATGTTTGGTTATTTTTTACTACGGATATTTGTTATGTTATATTGAGATTGTAACAATTGGTTTTATTGTCAAAATGGATCAATACTCATTGGTTACCCTAACCCGTCCATAATTTTAGTGGATTTTTAATGATTTTTATTTATCATAAGATACGAAAACATTTTAATTTAATTTGTTACTTGAAACTTGAAATTTTTTGTTGGATTTATTTATAATAATATGAAATGGTGTTGTTCTTTTTAGTTAGTTTATATGATATTTAAATTGTTTGTGGGTACCATGTAACCCATTTAGCCAACAAGTTTCATATTAACACCTATCCACTGATGACTATTCAATATAAAATACAATACTTTAAACTACTTGATTTTTACCAACAAGTTAAAACAAAAAACTACTATTATATTATTTCAAACTATTTGATTATACTTACAAGTTAAAAACATACAATATCTAAAGTTAGAACATATTATATACGATATACTACGAAAACCAAATATAGTTTATAATAATATACAACGAATGTTTCCGCACTACGTGCGGGTGAGAATCTAGTGATCATTATGTTGA